TTATTCTTTTATGCTTAACTTCCTATCTTTATAATATAAAACCTCTTCACCAGCATGATACATTTTTGATATTTTTATTTGTTTGTTTAATTTCGGGCAAATTACTCGATGATCATCTGCGCTAGCCGTCCCTAATTTTGAACTGATAATTTAGGCAGCTAGTCAATACCAACCGCCGCCAATTCTTGGACTTCTCCTTACCAAAGAATAGTAACATTATAACGTCCTCACGACTGAAAGGGAGGGCATGTTTGGTGACTGGATTCGAACTCGCGACCTCCTCCCAGATTGCGAGTCAAGTGCCCTCATCATCATTCCAAGCCAGACTTCAGTATTTAAATAAATGTATAAAATGGCTGATACAGATAATAACAGTTGACTAAAACAAGCTTCACGTTTATTCAGATTGTATACTTTCAGTTTAACAACGACTTTAGAATAATAACCTGTTTACGACAATACGTTATCTTTTCATCGTGATCTAAAGATTAGCCGAAACCTTTTCTTGTTGCACAAAGTCTAGCACATTAGATTTGTTTTAACACGCATCGTTGGCGAAATTTTAATCAAATTTCAGAAAATGTGAAATAAATGTACTACACAGCTTATCTGTTGTTGGAGTTGTGACAGAGGTTTATATTTAGATGTCTAATGAAATCTTACCGTTTTTTCTTTGCAAATGTAAAAATCATCTGAAGAACATCACATATAAAACATTGGTTTTCTTATTTTCTGAAGTTACTATTATTATTGTTTTTGAAAATACTGTACATAGGTTTTATTTCCAGATAAAAAAATAGTGGTTCTCCTTGCCATTATAACAGATGCAGAAGTTTTAATTTGACAACTTAATTCTGCTGAATGCTCTAGTATTTTTTATACCTTTGCCTTACTTGGGCATATTACAAATGATTATTTTTTACAGCTCCCATCTGTGGAAGCATTACAAAATAGAGACACAAAGAAAACCAGAGATTTAAACCCTTTGCTTTGTAAACCGGGTATGGATGTAATAGATCCTGGAATTAAAGAGATACTTCAGTCACAGAAGAAGAAGTTTTTCTCTAGTAAGTTTATTTTCTTTCATGATATAGGAGACAGGAAACTGTTGTGAATTGGCAATGTATTGGTTTGTAATGCTAGTTTTTTTACTACATTTACAAGTTGATTATGACGAAATATCGATACAAATTATTGCAGACAGTTCCAGAAACATACGCTTATGTCTTTGAGTTAATTAAAGTGTTTTGTAAAATAATGATTTATGTAATGTAAGATTCTTAGTTTCTACGATATCTAAGTTGGGATGGCAACTTCGCTTCATCTTTAAAAGCATAGTAACGCACGCGTGTAAGTGTTTTGTTTTTAACAACTGTATACTGTCATCAAAGTTTGACAGGTTAATGTGAATCGATCATCTCTCGTTCCGCTTGAGTTAATGGAACATGTATTTGGAACAGAGTAGTAGTGTATACATGTACGACAGCTTTCTCCATCGTGACAACATTACAAACGTAGCACCGAAATCATTTTACTGCATATAAAGAGCATTCATAATCCAACATTATTTTATTTCCGAAATATTTCAGGCGTTATTGTATATCAGCGACACCTTTTATGCCATAGCAATAAAAATGTGAAAGGATGCAAAAATATAAGTAGGTAATAAAAAACAAAGTACTAAATTGATGGTAATTTATTCAGTTTTTGTTAATTTGATTTTCATTTTATTCTACTGCATATTCTTATTAATATTTTAAGTTTTTAGGTGAATATTGATACAAATATTCTACATATCTCTAGAAGATGACTTGAAAATATCATAGACATTTTTTCTCATTAGTTGGACATAAAATACAGTAAGACTTAGTTGTTTTCTGGGATAGATTCCGAAAAACGTAAAACAAAATTAGCAACACACGATGAAGTTGCACACTAGTTAGAGATAAGATATTACGTACTCTTCCACTATTTTCTATATATGTATATCATACATGTATATATGTATATCACGAGTATAGATTTATACTCACAGATATCTTGGTTAATCCTCCCCCCCTTAAGAAACACCAACACCAACAAAACTACATAGTTGAAACTTAGTAAAACGATAGTTACAGATACGAAATATTGCACACTTCTTTTATATTTGAGGCCACAATCTATAATTGCTACATTAATTGTTGTTACAAAACTTTTTTCAAGAAATGCGTCTCTTTGTTTCGTTTGTCAGAACAGCTGTATATTAATAAACAGATTAAACTACACAATTTTATATGAAAAATATTGCATTAAGTTTGAGTTATTGATCAGATGATATATCATTTAAAAATGTATTCATTAAAAATAATTCGTTTTGTTCCCATACCTCAGTGATAATTTTAGGCTTAAGAACATACTGCTTTTGTCTTTAGCAAAAATTTCACATGTTGAGTTATGACGTTACGTATGAACCTACATAAAAACAACAACAACAACAACAACAAAAAAAAAAAACAATTGAAGACGGTCTTTTTGGTATAAGAAAACGGAAACTCTGAAGTTTATATTATATTTGCGATGTTCTACTTCTAAAAAACAAAAGACAACTGAAATAAAAACAGGAGTATTCAATTCAAGGCAGAGCTTCTAACGTTTGTAGTATACATCAAGTGCCCCACAACGAAACATCGACCAATTAAGATAACATTTTAATCTTTATAAGTAAGAACATATTGTTGTAACGCGATCTATCGTTGGGTGGGATCTTTTTTAATTTTTGGTAAAACTAATGCTTGATCCAGTCCACGTAACAATAACTAATAAATATATTTATTTTTAACATTTGCTACAGCCACTTTTACCTGTAGACCTAACTTCGAATACAAAACATTTCAACAGATACTACTGTAACTACTGTAATATTAACACACTGATAACGTTTAACAGAAATTTACTTGGTTAATGATAAGTACACCTAATTCACAAATAAACTTAAAGTTTCCTCGCTTGCCGCTTGAGTAACAGAACAGACGTGGAAAATCTTACTGAACAACGTTTCTGATACTGAACTCTTAAACTCACCGAATATTCAACTGAATTATCAATGAATCTTCACACACACTGATTACTCATATTTATAAACAATGTATCTTTATCTTTGGATACTGCCCGAAATTACTAGATTCTTGATCATCCAAATGACGAGCTCCCCCTCGCAAACAACTAAAAAATTAGAACATTGAAAATATAGCTTACAACAGTATGAACACTTTATTTACTTGGCTATGTTCGTTACTGGGTTGAGTTTCAGTTAAGATCGAAGTAGGTAGCTTTGAACAGAAGCTCAGATTACCATGAAATAATTGAACCATTTTTCACATATTACATTACTGTAGTTACTACTTACTACAAGGACACCAGTGTATCCGGTGGCAGCACCTATAATATATGCTTATTGTTACTATCCATTGTGTCGAGCACCACGTGTTATGACATAATTGACATGAGAACAATCTATCTGGGATCACGCAGAATAATAATATTATCATTATCTTGAGATTATTAAATCAGATGCAACAGATTACAACACTAATATTTATTACTGAATTGAGGAAAAAACAAAGACACCTAAGCTTCATTTATCAACGACCATGATGCCTTTACCGGTCGTTAATAAATGAAGCTTTTGTGAAACGTAAAACTGTCTTTGTTGTTTTCCTCATTTCTGTAAAAATGGAGTTTCACTAAGTATCGACGGTTTCAAGTATCAATATATTAATAGTTATTACTACCAAGCGCCCACTGTATGAGGGCTATACTAGTAACTTATAGTTATTACTACCAAGCGCCCACTGTATGAGGGCTATAATAGTAACTTATACTTATTACTACCAAGTGCCCACTGTATGAGGGCTACACTAGTAACTTATAGTTATTACTACCTAGTGCCCACTGTATGAGGGCTATAATACATTACAAGTGTTATAGTACTAACTTATAGTTATTGCTACCATGAGGTCATTGTATAGCCACTGTACAAGTGTTACATTAATAATTGTAGTTACTACTATCTGATGACAATTTTTATTACCTGGTGCCTACTGTATGAATGTTAAAATACTAACTTGTATTATTAATACCTGGTACCCAGTGTATGAGAGTTATAGTAGTAATTAGTAACTTTTATCTGATAGCTTAAGCTACAAATTTTATGGAAACCATTGGATCTGAAAGGTTGGTAAACATATCTTCTGCTACATTTATTTATACAAAATATTTCGAATGTATTTATCGTATTTGTGCCTGTAAACTAACTTCTAGGTTCTGTTTCTTAGGCTTTCATAATTTCACGAAAAAAGTGTTTTATAATGATTATAACAAACTTTTTTTTGCGTTTCCCTAGGTCAGAAGAGAGATCTAAACCATCGAGACAGAGGACCAGAGGTTATACTCACTCCTCAAAGGACGATGGCTTGTGTTTCCAGTCGACCTAAATGGTCCCCTGCAGTCATCCCCTGCCCAATGTCTTACCTTCCTTCCCCAGCATTGACGGTCACTAGTTCTGTTTCCATGCCTGGACTGAATGGTCTAAGTGTCGGTGAAGAGTGTGAGCTACCTAGAAGTTTGGCTCCGTTGAAAGGAGTTAAAATAAAAACAGGTACTGATGGTTTTTATTTATTGATTTTAGTATGACATCATTCAGATTCCCTGTTATAAATTTTCGTAAATTTGAGTTAGCCCTTTTGAATGCTATCTAACCGTTATATATTACAAACGAACTACAACTTATGATTTAAGAAAAGAAAGTTTATTAAAAGTGGGTAAACTATGAAACTTTTTCTAAAAAAAAAATAAAAAAATCAGTTATTTCAACCAATCATTACAAAATTCGTATATTATTTTTGGTGTAGTCTTAATATATAGCTGTATGAAACCATAATAAAAATACACCCTACTTTTGATAATACTTTATATAAATTTATCTCAAATTATGTAGTAATACTATTTTTGTCTCTAAATATAAAGTAATCTGTTACCATGGGTATTATTAGGTAACTTACTCGCGTCTTCGTCCGTGCAAGATCTCGGAGCACCATCTACAAGTTACGGTTCTAAGCGGGAAGCTAAAGCAACTTCACGGTCGCTCGTGTCTGGAACAAAGTTTGGAAGTAAAGAATCTTTACTGAAGACGAGTAGGTCCTCATCACTGGATTCTGGTTGAATTTCATTTATTACAAGGATATGGATGATATAAGTCTTTGTAAATTGCTTCTAAATATAAAACTTGATGTAAAATATATCTTAAAATATTAATTGTTGTATTTTATTAAACGGAAGTTTCAACTTAGAGAAAATATGTTTATTTGAATTGTTTTTCGAGAATACTCGTGATTGATCTAGATGAATAGAACACTAAAATATTCGGATTTTGATACCTGCAGAGCTTTAAGTTAACAAGATACAAACAATTTAGATGAAATATTCTAGTCAGCATAATAATAAGAGTATAGTCACTTATTTGGAACTATATAAGTTTATTCACAAACAGGAAAATAATCTGAGGTTATTGAAACTCATAAGATAGTTGTTAAAACACTGATCTATTGTTCCTCAATTTTACCTTCACATGCTTATTTTTCGATATGGATTAAAGCTGGGATTCTTCCCCGAGTCTGCCCTGACTTCGAATAACGGACTCGTCCGAAAGCGTGAATGTGACTCGCTTGTTACATAATCTTCGGCCAGACTGTTTGTTTATTTTCTTGTTAAACGCAAAAGTACAAAATGGGCTATCTGTACTGTGCCTACCACGGGTATCGAAAGGCGGTTTTTAACGTTATAAACCTTCATCGGAAAGAAAAGAAGAGAGAGATTGCACCATTCATCTAGCTATGGATATTCAAAGAATTGCACAGTTGATGCACAGGACAGTCAGTACCTTTAAAGTCACTGAGATAGAATATATAATCACTATAAATATACTAATCGTAATCCGAATAGTGTTTAATAATATGCTGAATAGTACGAATCATGTTTACACCCTTCGAAATATTAATTCATTTACATTTTTTTGCCAACAGACTCAGTAGCGCCTGTTTATATTATACAAATGCAGTAATCTTAAACAGCTACAATACTGGTACACATTAGTTTAAGTTTGAGGTTTTTACATCTTTAAGTTTACAGTAATCGTATAATTTTTTTTTCAAGTTAAAAACCGATTTGTATGACAGTAATCAGTGACTCCTGATTAGAGGTTCATCCTCCTCCTTAATACAATCTGAAATGCAGTTTGTTTTCTCCATCTTACAGTACAGATTACCATCCTTGCCAAGCACACCCAACACTGTGGTACTACTAGTAGGTCTAATAAATAAAAAAGTACACTTAATCAATTTAATCAGTTCACAGCATAACAGCTTTTGTCAAACATTTTCCTGACATAAATAGCGTCTCAACCATTATTATGCCCGTTGTATTCCAGCCTACCTAAAGAGTAGGGCCGGGTAAACGCATGTGCTCTGTTTGTTTGTTTGTAATTAAGCACAAAGCTACACAATGGGCTATCTGTGGTCTGCCCACCACTGGTATCGAAACCCGAATTCTAGCGTTGTAAGTCCGCAGACATGCCGCCGTGCCACTGGGGGCGCATGTGCTCTGACCTCCAGGCTTCCACTCACATTGATGGATTTCTAAGTATAGATAAAGAAGGCGAAAATTCGTTTTGTTTTGTTGTTGTTTTAGAGCAAAGATATACTGAACTATCGGGGGACTCCATGCAAAAAAGGTCACAATTAAAACAAGTCACACTGAATGCAAGCAGGTTGTAACTGCAACAAGAAACATCTCAAACCATAGATAACAAGTTTGATTGTTTAAACCAATCACAGATGCTGACAGTGTTGTCTAATTTGCTTTTACCAATACAGTATTTCATTCTTAATAGTTCATTTAATTGGGTTTTGTTTCGCATTATGATAAGGAGTAACTCGCGAATATCAGTAGGGTACGCGTAATAACATCGGTTGGGATTCAATGTTCTGCATTTTTACTATCATACGGGGTCGGATACGGGACGTTTGATAAGGAGAGGGTCTTCCACCAAGTCATGAAACATTTTTCAAAGAAAAACAAAATATTTTCTTTTTTTATTAAGTCTAAAGGTACCTTTACTTAGTAGTCCTTCGCAAAAGGTGGCAGTAGTAGTTGATTATATGATATGAAAGAAAAGTATATGACTGTAGGCGTGGAGCTGTCCCACCTTGTCCAATGAATGGTATAGGAGTGGAGCTGTCCCACCTTGTCCAATGAATGGTATAGGAGTGGAGCTGTCCCACCTTGTCCAATGAATGATATAGGAGTGGAGCTGTCCCGCCTTGTCCAATGAATGGTATAGGAGTGGAGCTGTCCCGCCTTGTCCAATGAATGGTATAGGAGTGGAGCTGTCCCGCCTTTTCCAATAAATTCATTCCCTATAGGACATCTTTTCCTTTGTTACGTAAAAAACAAAACAAAAGAGACATTAAGGGCTGACGTTTTTACAGTCATGAGTGATTTCTCATTGTTTTGTACAGTTTCTCGAGTCGTTTTATACTTTTTATTGATTAATTTGTTTAGTAGGTTTATCATCACTTCATCTTACAAATTGGGGTTAGTTTTCTCCAACACTTCTGGGTCAAGTTTATCAAGTGATTGTACTTCTTCATTAGCGTAACATGTAAATTAGCACGTTATTATCGCTTCCTGTCAACGGCTGGTGCACTTGACAGTTTGTATCTATAATGATAAGAATTGTATCGACATCTCCCTAACAGTATTCTCGTTGGTATGACAATTTTATGTAAAGTACGCGGGAAAAAGCTTTCTACAGAATTTCATACTTGATTACAATTAGGTGACAAGTAACAGTTAATGAAAAGTTTGCAGCAACAGCAACACCGATATCAGGAAAAGAAAACAAATTCAACTTTTGTTCTGTCTTTCATAAATGTTCACAATGTTTTATTGAAACTCAGGTTCGACATTGGTTAACAATGGAAATGTATTTCAGGCATACATTGTTTGATACTAGAATAAGGAAAGCCGTATAGAAACCCAGACAATTTTAAGATATATTATATCGATCTTAATTATTCTTTCACTAACCTCTTAAAGCCCTTTTGTATTCAGTGATTTTTTTTCTGTATGATATTTTTTTTCGGTAACGTAGTAATTTACACCAAAATCTATATACTTCTCAACGTATTATTAAATATTAAGAATTGCACGTCCAGGAATGTATTGTACATATATATTAATGTATGTTTTTAGCGTATCAATGTTTTGAAAGTTTAAATCTGTTTTGATACAAGCGTGAATTATAGCAACAAAATGATTACACTATTGATTACGGGTATGATGTTTCTGAACAAGGCGTGTCAACGACAGACAATGTGAACTTAATGTGGCACAGTTCATGACTTATTTAAGTTGCCCTAATAACGATAAATTGATTTCGCTTTTCTGTCCACGTTCTGAAGACTTTTAAACAGCACATACCACTCCAAAACAACATATTCATTTTTTACACACACAGTTTCTGTTCATTGCATCTCGATCTTATTTCGCCAGTAATATGTTGCCCACTATTCTGAAATTCTAGTTTTTATTTAGAAATAACATAAAAAATTATTAGTTTGAATATTAAAAAAAAGAAGATAATGTTATCAGTGGTGACTGAAGAAGAATACATAATATTAAGATAAACTTAGTGTACTTAGAAAATTTTATATCATATATTACAAATGTACAAGCTATCTTTACTAACATCAATCTGTGTTTTTGTATAGTAGTATGTCACATTGCTATTTTATTGTAATGAGCTTTAAATATATATATTTTAAACAATTGTTTCTCTAAATATGTGTTAAACGTTTGGCCGACAGGAGTTACTGCTGAAGTACTTTTTTATCCAAAAAAATAACTATTCTTGTCATAAGACATCGGTATTAGGCCTGTTATGTTTTTTAACATTACATTTTTTATTCAGTCCTTAAGGTTTTTCAAAAATAAGAAGAGTATATAATAGCATTTCAACACGGAGTTTATACAGGCTAGAATGTGCATGACGCCATATTTAGTGTCCACGAGCGCCACATTCGAAGAAAAGACGAAATATTGTTTTGGCATTTCTATAGTTCTCTAGGATGTATAACTATAAGTCAGTCTTCGTGAAAGTAATGACTCATGTAGTGTCATCGGTATATATATATATATTGACATTAACTAATTCAAAATAATTTCTGCAAACATCTTTATTGCTTTTTAAAGGTAAACAAACTATATAACAACTACATTTACAGTGTTTATCAATGACAAAAGATGCGACTGGTTCTAGATACTAGATCGAATAATGCTAATACTCATAGTGAGACCCTAAGTTATTAGATTGGATTTTACTGATTATTATTTGTTGTATATCATGGACAATGATAGCCTTTAATCTTTCTTTAAATTTCACCTAGCACATTTCTAATAGCCGTCTGTCGTTTCTTGACATTGAAAATAACGAACTGGTCACTACTGTTCATTATAAGTGTACGAATTCTCATTCTTACTTACGTTTTGATTCGTTTCATCCCTCCACCACTTTAAGTTCAACAATCTCTTACCTACAGTTTTTGCGTTTGTAGTGACGATGATGATTTCATCTCCCAGTCTGAAGAAATGACTGTTTTTTTTCCTCTCGGGCCTATCCTAAACGAATCTTATCAAAGGCTTTCTTTAAAGCTAGTCATAAACTTCGTAAGAATACTCTTGAGACATTGTCACAAAAGACGGAATATAATATGCTTACTTTTTTTTCTCTTATCATCCAATTGTGTCTCCTTAAACCACCAAATTTATCAGGGACAACTCTTACATTCTTCAAGCTAATACTGACACTAAGTGTATTTTCACTGAACAACCTGTTATTGCTAACTTAACTAATTATACTCATCCCGACACTCCTCCTGGTTCTTTCCTCCGCAATCGACCGCGATGTGTAACTTGTCAACACATTGACAATCGAATTTTAGTGACGTTTTCCAAAAATCGATTTTACATTAGAAATACTTTTATTTCTTTACCAGAATCCGTTATGTACTGCATGTTTGTGAGCCTTGTACGTTGGTGAGACTAGTCGCCAAATCAGTGACAAAAATTTCGCAAACACAGACGACACATATTAAATCGTAGTCTTGACTTATCAGTCTCAAGACACTTTTCAGACGACAAACACTTCTCACATTTTTTGTTCTAAGATCTACATCAATAGAATTTTATTTACGTGAACGGGAAGAACAATGCCGTATTTATATTCT